TATATCTGGATCATGATACCCCTTACTCTTAGTGTACTATTTTCAAAAACTTCGAGCCGGTGTCATAGATTTAATTCAGCAGCGTTAGACTGCATATTCTTCCCATTCGTTCTTCGAGGGAAACTGTTTGGCAAAGGCACTTTCTATACCTAATTTGGTGTCGTGTATTCTTACAACTTTACCAAAACCAACCAACCAAATCTTTTGCGCCTTCATTTTTCCATAACGTTTTTAGGCCTGCATTTCAATTTTCCAACACACAGTTTATCGTGAAATTCCACAGCCGAGAGAATAAGCACGATTTCAGAAGCCTTACCTTACCCTAACGTTCTTGACCACGTCTGTGGAACCAGAATGCCTGTTAAGAATATCTTTAAATATCTTTCGGAGACCTACAAGGATGGTCCCCTAGTTGTCTGCCATCACATTTTCGTAGGTAAGTTCTTTGTAGTTCTTAGGTTTATTGGCGTTGTAGTACGCTGACCGCTGTCTTTTAATGGTCAAACCTCTCACAAGTGAATGACATGACCCCCTCGGCTTAGTCCAACAGCTCGTTTTTGTCTATTGTTTGCTCTATAGTGATTCTAGACTCAACCTGACCCCTTAAACTAACTGAGCAGGCAGGAGGAAGGCTTCTTCTTTGATGGGTCGACGTAGTTTACATAGATTCCAAATGAAGCTATCTTTCTCGTCGTGCAATCGGGGAGGGACGAGGTTCATACAAAGTCTAAAGCCATTGCCTTTTTCGGTCATTTACCTGTTTTATTTTGTATTTTTTATACATAGTTTTTAAAATTCCATAAAAACTCGTTCTCTGCTAATAATACTCATATTTTAATAAATCTATCAATGCAACATGCTTACAGTTATGAACAACAAATACATACATTTCCACATTTTTGACAAGTGCAGATTTGTCACATTCAATATTTTCACGTGTGATTGCATATGCCAAAATCAACCATAAAATATTAGCAATTAAATATTTGACACAAAAAATGTGTGTGCAAAGAAATATTTAGCTACTCAACCAACTGACCTCATAAGCACCTAAATACATACAATAAGTGCTAGCTTGGCATTAGCTTTCTGGGTATCCGATTTCATGGTCTCCACATTTGTTCAATCATTTTCCATATCATTTCACCTGTTCACCTGCATATTTGTGTACATATTTGAAAATAAAACAAAACTTGCACAAATATGGCTGCATTCATTGGTGGTTGATTTGATGCGGCAAAATATTTAAATCTGAAAATTGTGTTATGTTGCTGAATGTTCAAAAAATAACCGCATTTAAATTGAAATCGTAAGCACAATAAAATTTATTCTCTTGTTAACTGTACAACAAAAGTCCTAAAATATGCAATTCATTGTACATATTTAGGTCTTATAGTATATCCAGTTTATTGATCAACAAAATATGTTTCTAGTTGACATATTTCAACGATGCTTTTCATTTTTTTAAAAGCAAAGCTTAATTTCACTGAAATTTCGGCTGCAATGTTGTGAATCGAAAGTTTAAAATCATAAAATATGCAATGTTATTTATGCTAAATTTCTAGCTAATATTATGATGTTGATTTTACATAATTTTGCGAGTATTTTACTATTCTAGCCGCTATTACTGTCAGTTTTGTTTGACATACACTGCCACAGTGTATAATGGCCTGACAAATAGCACATACAAAGAACACACCATGGGATTGGGGTTGAAGGTAAGAAACAAGTTGTTAGTGAATAAAGCAATGCGATTGGAAAAGTCTCTATATATTGAATATTGATCAGCGGGCATTTTTAAACAAATAACCATTACGTCTAAAAATATGCAATAAAAAACTGTATACATATTTCTAAAAAATACGACATTTATTGCGCTTGAAAGCAACTTATTTCTTTAGGACAAAATCCAAAATCAAAATTTGCCGAAATATTTTTGGGCCGAAGGATAAACGGCAATTTTCGTAGGCATTCGTAAAAAGAAAAATTAAATTTGAGTGCACCTTTGAAACTGAAAGTCCCAGAAAAATATCGAACATGCCCGAGGAAATCTGCCAAAGTTCTTAAAAAGGTCAAATAGGTCTCGAAACCCTTCTGGAAAATCTCGAAAAATACAAACAGTTGGAATCTCACAAAGTCCCGAAAAAACGAAAAACTACAAATCGATACCGAAAAGTCCCAAAAATATTCTAAAAAGCCACACAAAAATTCAGAAATCTTTGCCCCCAAAAGCTTTAATAACTCCACAAAAAAAATCCCGAAATGTCCCGAAAAATATATTACCCCTAAAGTTTTGGAAAAATATCAAAAATAATTCTTCATAAATCTCACAAATTCCCGAAAATTCCGAAAATCCCCGAATCGTACCAAAAACTATCATAAGACACTGAAAAGTCCCAACGAAATATTCCGAAAAGACACAAAAAAATCTGTAATCTTTGCCCAAAAAGGCCTTCATAAGTCCCATAATATCTCGAAAAATTAATCACCGCAAACATTTTTTTTAATCGCGAACAAAACTCGAATAAACAACAATAAACCCACAAAGTCCCGAAAATCATCGATAAGTTCCGTAAAACTCCGAAAAATCCCGAATGGTATCGAAAACTATGATAAGGTACCAAAAATTCCAAAAAGATACAAAAAATTGGAAATTTTTGCCCCTCAACCTTTAATAAGGCCCAAAAGGTGCCGAAATGCCGTGAAAAATAACTTACTCCGAAATTTTCAGAAAAATACCGAAAATCATTCTGCAGAAATCTCACATGGTCTCGAAAATTCTGGGTAAGTTCCAGAAAACTCTGCAGTAAAACCGAATGGTGCCGAAAACTATCATAAAATACCTAAAAGTTCCAACAAAATATTCCGAAAGAACCCAAAAAAACATTCTAAACTCTTTGCCCCAAAAAGTCTTAGTAAGTCCCAAAATATCCTGAAAAATTTATCACTCCAAGAATTTTGCAAAAATCACAAACTAATGGTGAAATAACTGGAATAAAAGTCCGAATATCAAAGACAAGTCCAAAAAAAACCCGAAATGGCAAAAAATCCTCGCGGTGCCAAAAAGTACCGAAAAAATAACTTTGATGGCAGAGCTTAAAGCCCAGCTTGTTAGATTCGTACGCAAATAGGGTCACAAGAAAAACTACTGTTAGCGTTGCGGCGTTACCCGCTTATTGCCCTCCAAAACTTTTTTGTTGGATTCAATGACTTTTTGTGAGTATGAAGGACGAGCAGGAAATAATGTTACTCATACGCCATGGTATTGATGGGAAGCCTTCCTTATATAATAAAGGCCGTTAAGGGAAGGAAGAGATATCAAGAAGAAAGTACATTTTATTCTCCAACAGACAAAAACAGAATGAATCCAAAATAAATTCAAATTAATGGCGTTTTCTTGACTACCGACAAATCTCATTTCCCGCTCCGCTCAAGCAGCAAGAAGAGGGCAATGAAAAGGCAACATTTTTTCTAGAAAAGAAAACATCTTTGAATGTGGTTGTATTTACTTTTGTAGATATATGTATATACATAGGTGTATGCGCAAGAGTCAACATCAGACTGAAAAAATAAAACTTCGCGTCCCTTTATCGGAATGCCCATGTAGGGGAAAGCCTTTTTTATGGAAAAAAAGAAAAATTGTTCGTTCACAAGAATGTGTCTACTTATAGGAAATGTCCGCTTATTAGAGCGTCCGTTAATGACAGCTTTCACTGTATTTAAAAAAGGTGAAAATCTAGAAAAAAATTGCGCAAGTTTTATAAAAAAAATTCGCATGCGGTCCTATTTTTTGATGAACGATAATTTGGAAACAAAATGCGCAATTCTTTACAACGATATTTTTTATAACAAATTTTCACATCGGTCGTGGCGCCTTTTTAATTATAAATAATTTTAGAAAAGTGAAGATTTAGAATAAAATTCGCGATCCTTTTTAGTAAAACTTTTCGTCTGCGGCTCTTTTTTTACCATAAACCAATATTTTAACATACACTTGTGACAATTTGGAATAAAAAATCACCATATTTTTCAACATGTACATAGAATTTTTTTTATTCATTTTTCCCCATATTCATTGAACTTTCTATTTTCTTTGGTTGTCTGAATGTATAGTTTATGCTTATCTTTTTTGACATTATTTTCATCGTCTGGCAGCACCAAAATCTGTGTTCAATTGCAACGAGTGGTAAAATTAACTAAAATAGCAAATTACTTAAAACAAAATGCTTAAGTGCATTAAAATTGTTCACAATTAAGTCACATCTATCTATTTTACGCACTTTTGGATGAAAAAATACATCGCAAGTTCGAGATCTCGGAGTGGGGTTTCTCTATTATTATTATTTTTTTGTTTTTTTTTCTTGTCACCTTTCAGTAAAATGTTCCAGCTCCCCTCTCAACCACGCAGTGCGCCCATTTCCATCCTATCCTTATTCATGATAACTCACTCTACCTGTAAGCTGAAACTATACATGTACATATATGCGGTGCACTTACCACTCCATCATTTTTCATATATGTGAGGTGGAGCCACTCTCCATGCTCACTTAATGGTTATTTTATTCACGACGTGTCCAGTCAAATTCAATTTATTTTACGTTTTTCCCATACAGATTGTCCTCATATAAGCACTTAGGAGATATTCATTCAAGCAACTGCAACATGCATAAAAATAAATTCACAACAGCGTGTTGAGAACAAGCTCACCATAGAGAGTACAGTCCAGCATGGGAGTGACAATACAAAAGTGGAAGTAGAAAAAGAATAAACTCGTAAGCAAATAAGTGTTAAAATATCGTGCATACCTATGTACATATATATACGGTTGGATATAACAAGCATTCATGCAACAACAACCAAAAATATAAGTATACATTTTGACCAAGTTGATCACTTAAACAAGTGAACGCCAAGTGCTTCGCTCCAGCAGCGAGACTTCGTCTCTTTCGAATTGCTGTCCATCGCAAACAGCCAGCCAGCCGGCTGCCCAGCTAGCCAACATGGATCTCCATAACTTTAGCAACAACATGCATAGCAACATAACACTGCCACCCGCAACAACAACACCAGCAACATCTACATATTTTACATACAGCATACCGGGCATGGATATCACACCGGGTCCGGTCGCTTTTACCTATGTCAGTGAATTTTTATCACTTATCACACCAGCGGAACTGCCACTCGGTAAGTGTTAGTATTTGTATGTATGTGTGAATGTGTGCTAAGGAAAAGCGAAATTTTGATGGTGAGCAAATGCGAATGAAAATGTGTATTGGATAGGAAATGTGTGTGTGAGTAAGCGTTTAATATGCATATTTATATGTATGTATGTAGGTCGTGTGCGCTTGTAAGCTTGTGTGTATGTGTTTTATAGCACCCGTAAGTTACATAGTGTAGAGATAAATATGAGTGAATATGGGCGTCGTGAGATATTTTATGACGTCAGCAATCTATTAAAACCAACTAAAAGGAATGTACTTTACGTATCGTTGGGGACTTGAATATTGGCCTGAGTGTCTGATAACAGTTATCAACGCAATATTTATAATATAATATATATAATATATATTATGCCTTAAAATATTTAAAATATGTATTAAAATAAATAAGTCGAAGGAATTAGAAGTCCAAAAGTAATGCAAGCTTCTTGAAACCTTAAAATCAAGGATTATACGTGCAGGGAATTGAAATTCTCCATATACTTAGCTAAATCGTCTCTTTAAGAAAGGCATTTGACGCATTAGCGATTTGTCAGTTTTTGAGGCATCCAATTGGTTGAGAACCATTCATAGGGTTTAGTCAATCAGAGATCAGGTGCATTATGTATCATATGAATAGGTATCATTGGAACCGGCGATGAGTTGCTGACGACTTCAAAATAACCACGTAGAAATAATGAGTTACGAATCCTGGCAGGAACACAAATTATAGGAACCATTTACGGTTTGATTAACGGGGATAGTACAGATCATTTTCTTTGTACCTGTCTGGTGTTCGCTAGTCATCATATTTTTCTTATTTTGCACTATAACCATTTATCAGTTTGGACCGTGACCAAAAAACGTCACCAATTTCTTCTCTACTTTGCGAATTTTCGCCAGTTCATCTCGAGTGCTGACAAAAACATCTGCATTTTGTCCTTCCATTATGTTTGTGGGCTCCCTTGCGGTATCTGTGATTTCTTGCCTGAGTGTTGTTAGAATAAGTGCGAGAAAGTGTTAGATTCATATCAGAGTGAAATATGTAGTTTGGGTATATAAGTATAATTTCACGAGAAATAATTTTGTAGAACATTTACACTAGTGTATTTTTGAGAGTAACATTTCAAATTGATCGCTAACTGTTCTGGGTACAGGTATTTTACTTAAAAATTATTCAAACTTAAAATTCGGTACTACCATTTCGGAATAACGGTAAATGTAAATAGAACTCAGTACTTTTAAGTATTTTTTCGACACATGATACTGAGTACTTTGAATCGATGTATCAATGTGATGATTGGAACAGGGTATTTTTGAGTAAATTCAGAGTACTTTCGAATTATTTGAGAGTACTGAATACTTTGGAGTGCTCAGTATCGATACTTTTAAAAATCGGGTACTGTCGATTCTTTTGAGAACGATACTAATTTTAACCCATTAGCTCTCCCAAGAAAGGGTCGTTTTGACACCTTTTTTGGAAAGTCTGAATAAAATGACATTTGGGAGGGCGCTAAAGGAAGAAAATTTCTCATTTCGTGGACGAAACCACAAATCTTCAAAACGGTTTTCACTGAACGTGTCAGGTGACTGCCGTATATTTCTTTGGCATAATAGTAATTAAATAAAAGAGGTCAATTCCAATTGCAAATGCGTATAGCGCACATCAATTCGGCATCATTTCGAGAACGCTGCTTGTAAATGTGTTAAGGATAAAATCGTATGCTTAATATAAAGATAGGTAGTTGCAGCAATGGGTCTGGCGGTAAACGAGGACAAGAGAAAGATTTTGCGAAAGATTGATGGGCCTTTACGCGTTGGCGATGGCGAGTACCCCAGACGATGGAACGATGAGCCGTATGAGGTTTACAACGACATGGACATGGCTTGCGCGTGTACAGAGCCAAAGAAGAAATATATTTTTTTAACATTGTAGTACAAAAAATAAAATACGATAATGGTGGTATCGACATTTCGGAAATGTTTTCAGAGTATGCCGAGCAACCAGAGTGCATCTTAAGTATTACGTATTAATAATATATTTTAGACTGGTGCTCTGCCCAGTCATAAAGTTAATTGACGACGGCCTAATCCTGTTCAGTGAAAAAAAAAATATTTGGTAATACTTTTAAATTTTTTATTTCTAACGCAACAAACTCCCTCCATGATTTTCGCCCATATATATACAGAGATACATGAGGGTTTTACTAGAAGTCATATCTTGAATTCACAATGTTATGCCGCAATCAGGGTAAGCGCTGTATTCTATCTGAGTACGCATGCGTCCAGTTCAGCTTAGCTTGTCGGATTGAAATATGTTTTGACAGATCACCTAAAGCAACAAAACACTGAATCGTATCCTTATGGTCAAAAATCAGTTGTCAAATGCCACCACCGCATACAAATCCAAGATTATTCACCACCCCTACATCCTTCGTATCTCCCATTCACCCAACCAACAGTCTCCGCCCCGTCTATTACCATTTTCTTCCCTCGTCTTGTCGTCGTCAGACCCCTTGTCCCTTTTTTAGCATCATCCCTTCACTGGATATATCGGTTATCCTTTTTGCCCACTGTCGGTCAAGCCCGTTCGTCTACTCTTCGGTCTACTTTTGTCAATCTGTCCGTCCGTTCGTAATTCATTTTGGTAAGCTTCACTCATCACACACATATCTTTCACCTTTAACACTTCATTTTGGTTCTTTGTTTTACATAATTCTCTTGATTAAATTATGTATCTTCACACCCAGGGCTATAGTCAGAGAGGGCTTAGTAATCTTGATCTGGTTCGCAACGAGATATTTATATTGAGGTGCAATAACTTTTAGACGAGCTTTTGCATAGATTTCGGTACTAAATATTATCGATAACAGCATTGTACTGCTCCATGGATCTATCATAAGATAAGAGCGGAACTGGGTATCCTCAACGGGTAAAGTGGTTCCTCTTGTGGCTGGATAATTCACTGACTCGCTATAGGTTGCTGGCATCTTCAGAGTAAGTGGATGTGCCTAATGTAGGAATTCATGTCACTGGACTTATCGCTTGACTACAGCAAGTCTATGACGCCTAACTGATATTCCAATCAATCGCCATTTAGCTTCCATTGACCAGTTTAGCGATGCTATAAGAACACCTAATTCAACCTACCAAAGAGATATAAAATGCATAAGCTTTGTTTCGTTTTAAATTGAATAGTTGAGCACCTATAAATCACCCAGCGGTTCTTCAAGCATACATGCGTACATATTAAAGTTTATCACTTATTTTCAGGTTCCATGTTTATCACCAAAAGGCAATGACCATCCGCTAACGAGATCACTGACCATCAGACAATAACACGGACAAATAAACAACACAAACACACACATAGACACACGTACATACTTATACATGTATGTATGTATGTATAAATGTGGTGAATTAAGTCGCGTCTAAAATATATTATCCTCGACAGTCAATTGGGCATTTTAACGGCACAGTCGTGTCTAATTTCAGAATTTAGTGACGCCAGTTAAGTGCACTCAAGCACAGCTGTCATGTGGGTGCTGCAACATGTCTGCCATAGTATAAGTATGTATGCATGACTTAATAGCAGAGAGGTGTGTAGACAAATCGAACAAATGAGCTGTTTGAATTTTCCACACGCAAAGCCAAATTATGTGCAGAGGTGATACTAAAATATTTGCAGTAGTTAAACAGAGAATACACACACACTTCTACGCATATGCATGCATATGTAGGTGCGTGTGTGCACATTCGTGAATTTATTTGTTTGTTTACTTGTATTTTCGATTTCTATGCCCACTTATTTTCATTTTCTCACCCATTTACGCCAGCCAATAAATTGTCCACATACGGTTGCGGCATTTTATTACCAAAATTATTGAGTATCTGTAGTACCATTTATTGTTGCAGGGACAAGTACCTGCCTGTGCAGAATGTAAAGTACTGACATATAATATATTTAAGTGTCAATGCGTGTAACTACTCCAATAGACAGATATCAGCAGGAGTTTGCATAAGGATAGAAATGTATAGGAAATTATTAAAGGGAAATGAAAATTTTTGGTCATTGAACTTTTAAAGTAGAATTTTCTGAAATTTGCTGTTGAAGGAGTCCTATTCTAGAAGCATAATTACTACACTCCTGAACTCTGCTACCCATGTCCTGCCTGGCAAATCCACTATTCTTCTTCTGCTATGGTAAAGCCAAAGCTCGCTTGCTATCTTATAATTCTTGAATCCGAACCATTTCTTCCTTGCTTGATTTAGCAAATGTAAGTGGTTTTTGTCTGATCGCAACAGATTCAACCAATTGGCCAATGCATCAACTCTGTCGTTACCAGCTAAGTATGTTCGTGCGGATGGAGTCCGACCTGTAAACCTACCAGGAAATCCAGAGAAGAGAGGTGGGCAATGACTGATTCATTAAACGTAGCTCAATTTTGCATTCTTTAACTAGCGTAGTCACTACCCCGCAAGGACACACATAGGCCACGAGTTGAAAGCAATTTTTAACCGTCGGGCAATTTGTCAAGGTCAATAAAGAAAGGAAACACCAGAAAGCGCAATCTGCTTCTCGCTAATTCGGGGCAGTTACAGAGAAGGTAATTTCTGCAGCATCTATGGTAAGGAACTCCAAGTCATTCTGCGTGTTTACCTATAAGGACAGTGGCCTGTTAGAGCACCAACTGTATGAGATATGTCCTCTCTCTTTAGTGAATATAAGCTTCAAGACCTTTTTCGACCCCACTAAGGCCAAGTTTGCCTGAAAATTCTACAGGTCGTAGTTTGCATCCATCTCTTGCTCGCGTCAACATAGATAATTTCGCTTAAAAGCAGCTTGCAAGAGGCGAAGGGCATACCAATGCGTTCTCTTCCCGGAAGAGTCTGCTTGGTCGTACCCCGCCCCTCCCCCTCACTAAGGATGAACACCTCTTTACCATTTTAATCAGTACGAAGTTCGTTTATAGCCTCCATTATAGCTGAGACCTCATCTCTGTGAAAATACTATACTACCGGGCGGAGTATAACAGCTTTCCTCTCTTATTCTTCTCTGATTGAGATTTTCATGACGAACTTTCTATCCGAAACCAGAGTGTCAATACAACGGTCTGTATAGCCCTTAAGAAAGCTATATTTTTCCAGAATACAGGAGTGACCCAGAAATACCAATTCCCATTCTCTCTTAACCGGGGTGCAGCATGTGTATATGTATGTACATATGTTTACTCAGAACTTCATCGTGGCATAAGCTGACTTGGTTTGCCAAATGCTGAGACTGAGCTATGATAGCAAGCATACCTTGGTCTTTGTCCATTGCCTTGAAAAAGGTAATACGATAACCGGTAAATCTTTTGGAACGATTCCACATTAATTTGAATAAACCTCGACCTCATTTGGTGAAGAAAAAGTGCTAAGCTACCAAGAGAATACATTGTTGCACTTGTTGAGTCATCATCGCAAATATCTATAACTTGGGCTGACAACTAATACCTCAGCCGTCCTATTACCGCATTTAGCTTCCTCCGAATATTCCCTGTTATTAAACCTAACCACTCTTTTATAGAGCCGGAAAAGCAACATTTCAACTGAGAATCAGACATATTCTTGTGTTGAAACCCATCCCCGTGCAAGGATACCAGACTATCAACAGTTAGGAGTCTCTAAAGCTCCTCCTTAGTGACCATTTTCCTTGCGGGCAATCCCTTGTAGAAACTTCTGTCGGATAAGGGCGTACAAACCCGTAATGTCAGAGTAGCCGAAGACCGGTAAGAGCTCTCGGTTGCTCCAGAGATTGTTTGGTCTGTACATATCAAAAGCTCAGCATGCTTACAATGTATTGGGGACTGGCCTTCTCAGAGAGTGTTTGGTTTTAAATTAATGGCCAGGTCAGAGACCATATTGCCCGATCATTCAGGATAAAGATACATTGCACAAATGATTGTAATTTTCAATTTACTCGACCACGCAGTCGAGTAGCCAAATGCATTTGTTACAGAAATTTTATTAATAAAATTACCAACAGCCGCCTCGAGCACGTGGCCGAGAAGCCATTTTGCGATGAAGGGTATATTTCTGTACATCCTATATTCTCTGACGCAAGTGGTCTCGCCGTTAATTCCAGTAACACGGAACTGATTTTATTTAGGGAGTTGGCCCCCTTTCTCGCTTAATGCCCTGCCGAAGCTCAAGCTGCAATCAGGCTCAGGGAAGCCATATATCTAACTTGCCCATCGCATAGTCACTTTCCAATTCTTGAAAGTTTCGATTTCTTTCACGGGTAACGTCGTCTCTGTAGTAGCTCCAACCAACTCTATCTCTTCTCACTTTCTCTAAAGAGATCTTGGTATGAGCTTAGTGGAAGTGTTGGGGGGCAATTTTCTGTCACAAGCTCGTGATATCGCGACTTCAAATTTAGGCTCCCATACTTCTGTAGCGTTTTTCAAGCAAAAATATCTGCCGTTAAGGAAGCTGTAAATGTAATGTTCAAGAGTATGACGTTGATAAACAAGGTAAGCATTCACTATTATAGGAAAGCAGCAATGAGGTCCCTAAGCTCACTGATGTTCCGTTAAAAATTAGTTACGGTGTGCCTCACCATACTTTTAGTTGCGTTAGACTTATTTATATGGGACCAAACCAATATCACAAAAGGAAACTGCAAAGCTGACGAGTTGCGGAAAAGGGTTGTCCTTGAAATGATATAGGTACTGGTCAGGGAGCGAATGCAAGCGCCACTGATCCCATGTAGTTTTCTCTTTGACAGATGGGTCTCAGGTCAGCTCAACGAATATGGATCGGGTAGCGGCCAAAGGTGCTACTTATGTTAAACCAGAGCTCTCACATTAGGTGGAAGTTTTGATAGGTGACATACTATGTTGTGATATACTCAAAAAGCTTTTTTATTGGAAAAATTACTTCGAATTCAAAAATTCAGAGGACTTATCACACTGCGAGGCTGTATATCATACAAACATACATGCGAGTATAAGGTGTATGATGAGAAAAGGTGTATTACGATGTGATGTGATATAGTGTGATATGATAAGATGTGTCAACCGATACTGTATGTTATAAAGTTTTCTGATGTACTTAAACGAGTTGATGAGAAAATATGAGAAAAGATGTGTTACGATATGATGTGTTAGCCAATGTTGTTTGTTGTAATGCTTTCTGCTGTAATGTGAACAGATGTGTCATCATGTGAAATGTTGCGTTGTGATGCGAAGTGAAATGTTGGCATGTGAAATAAAAGATACCTTGTTGGTAAACATTTCCGGAAAGAGTTTGTGCAAAATGATAGTGGTGAGCGCGTAAATGTAGCACGAATACGGTATGATGAATGAGACAACGTATCTACATACTATTATTTTCTTTCTAAATAAACCCTTCACATCAAATTAATTTTTCAAAATGTAACTGCCTATTCGTTTTTCTTAGATTTGGTGCGTCAGTTTTTGCATACGAACCTCACGCTGATCGACTTTACCAAAGATGTGAGTATTACAAGGAATTATCATAAGTCTACAAAAGGCATCACTTATTACAAACTTCTAATATTTTAAAACTGGAAACACAATAAAGTTTTTTCAAGTTTAAAAATCTTCACACAAAATAGTCAAACAACTATTTTTCTTCATATGCTTAGTTCCCTCTTTCACCTTTTCCAGTGTCTCTTTTTCAACAAAAAAAAATTACTGCCATCCACTTTTCGCATTCCCTTATTCTCATATTCGAATTTTACCTGTTATTTTATTAATCTATCTCCTCCCACATTTAGGCGATCAAAATCGAGTCCGGCTTCTTGGCCATCATGAGCATCTTTGCCATACTGGCGCTTGTGCCGCTCATCTCCACCTGCGCTTGGTGTTGCGGACGACGCGCCGATCAGGACGAAGCCGAATTCATACGCAATGCACCTGTGAACATACATGACGAATCGCTACAACAGGCGTTGAATTGTCGAAAGAGTGCGTCCGTGGTGACACTCTGGATAACATTCATACTCTTGGCGTGAGTATGCTGAGGTCAAAAGCTGTCAAATTGCTATGAAATGTTGAAAAATATTCAAATTTTCTTTTCTAATGTTGCATTCTACTTCTTCTTCTTTTTCCTTTTCTTCTTCTTATTTTCCTCATTCATTTTGTGCAGGTTGAGCGATTTTTGCATATTTTATGCGAATAGCCGTCTAGCCGCCAATGTTGAAATGACGCCCGAAATGGTCAAGTCGACTGTGCACGACATGGAAGTATTTCTCAAAGACACACACCTACAAATCAAACATAAGTTGGATAATGGTTTTCATGTAGCTGTCGAAAAAGTTGTCAAAGATTTGCAAGGTCAGTATGCGTATGCGATGGTGAGTGTTCGTACATATGCGTTGTAGGCACGCTTGTATTACGTGCTACATTTTTTTTTTCTCTCACTTTACAGTCAAAGTTATAATTCATATTTTACCCTACCCGTTCCTCTCTTAGTCTCTTCTTCTTCGGTTTTTCTGTCCACTGCCTTTTACTCGATGCACTCACATTATTTATTTGATTTTCGTCCGTTATGCTGCTGGCGGCCATTCGTCCAACCAAACCCAACGCTATCTGTCTACTGCCCCATTGGACTTGCTTGTAATTGGACATTCCTGCATTGCTGGCTTGCATGTTTTCTACTATTCAGACGTCGATGTTCTCCTTGGGGAGCCTATCCAAGCGGAAATTTCAGCACACACTGGCATTGAGCTGGCATATGATTCATTGGCGACCATCAGCTTGGGTAAGGTGAAATTTGTTGGAAAATCATATTGGAAAGAGTAACTACAGTGGGCGGTGAGAAGTTCCCACAAAAGTAACGAGTGTTGCTAAAAAAACGTTGAGATAAATAGTAGTCGGTTCGAAGTTGGTAAATGGTTAAGGGGACGACGACGGGAAATAAAAGTAATTGAGTACAATGCGCTCATCTATTCCTATTTAAATATCCCTAAGGTACGTTTTCGCATTGGAACCTTAACTCGTATGTGAGCTATAGATTTCTACAAAAATTTAAAACTAACTAGGTTAGGTTAGGATGGGAGATTGTCCTTTGAGATACCACATTCTGAACTTGATACTTAGTCGATAAAAACGCCCCAAGCCGATTATGTATTTACTAATTCAGCTAATCTTAACTGCCCAGAGCACCACGGGGCTATTAATGATATGAAAGCCAAAGTACTTCAACCTGAGCCTCGCAAATGCTGGGCATCTATGAATGTAATGTTGAGGTGATTACAGCTCGTCATCTTCCAGTCAACTGCGACATACGGGGGCGTTGCTGCGTCAATACCGATTGGAAAGTGACCCGTTAAAACTCCTACCAAAAGTGAGAGCTGTGACTTTGTGAGTATGAGGAGTGCCCTCGGCTACCCTCTGTCCACACTCGGCCAGATCGCGCATATGCTGACATGAGGTCCATCTATCCAAGAGTGATCAATGACTGCGGCTGGGGTTCTTTATCCGGCCACAGAGTTCGTCGTCAGCCACAGAGTTCGCCGCAATGTCGCTGTGACCCGGAACCCGCATAAGCCTAATACAGAAGTATTCCAACGCGACCGAGAGAGAGAGAGAGCAAACATTCATTAACCAAGTTAGAGCGCACCCCCAACATACTCAAGGCCCTGATTTCTGCTTGGCTATCAGAATAAATGCTTAACTCCCTGACTGACATAACTCACCGGAGCAGAGAATGCACCGCCTTCTTGATAGCAGCCACTTCCGCCTGAAATACACTCCAGAAGTCCGGGAGTTTGAACTTAGTGCTTATTTAAAGCTCTCTACAGACTCAACCACCAACCCTGCCGTCCAGTTTCGATCCATCTGTGAAGAGGTTCACCGCTCCCCCTCTGCAGAAGTTCCGCCCGGTCCAATCCTCTCTTGAGGGAATGTGAGCAGAGAAGAAGCTCCTTAGCCATTTTGGTGGCGCAGTAATCTGTGCGATCAGGGATGATATCGAGCCTCCTAGAACTCCATAGTGTCCAGTAGTTAAGTCGATCAACCTAATAATAGCTGTTCGCGCCACGGCAAAGTTTCCTGCAACATCGGCAGGCACTTTGTTCATCATTACGTTCAATGCTAATTTGGCTTTGGTCCGCAGCGTCCCACTAATACCAAAGAAAGCAGCCCATTATGCGCGCTCCAGCTCTTAGCTAGTGTAGCCTTTTTCAGTAAGTTCCACCAGACTAGCGCGCCATAAAATATAATTGGCTTCACCACGGTCTCGTAGAGCCAAAAGACGACTTTGGGCGAAATACTTCTTCTCTTTCCAATAGCTCCCCTACAGCAATATAAGGCCACTGATGCCTTCCTTGCTCTTTCCTCGATGTTTAGCCTCCACGACAACTTTCTGTCAAGGATCAAGCCCAAGCAGAGTCGGGGATTTTATACTTTCTAGTGAATAAGACCAGTTCTGTCTGGTTGGGATTGGCGGCGAAGCGACTTTTGGTCGCCCAGTTCGTAGCTATGTTAAGACACCGCCGAGTATCTCTAGCTCCTCTAGTAGGTCGTTCACCAGGACCATGTGAATTTTAGTTAGTTTAGATTTCGGGACCAGACCAACGGTACCGATCTGAAAACTGTGGGAATGGGCGAAATCGGGAATTCATATTTACTAGGAGTGCCAGTTACTGTCGAAATTCGATCGTACAAAATTTCTTACCGGAAAATCTCCTGCTTTGGAACTAAAGCGTGACTATAACTTTTTATATCTTTGAAAGTATTTGACAAGACTTGGAATTGACAAGATATTTTCCAGTTTGTCCATAATTTTCGATAATTTGTTACATATTGATCATTAAATGACTCAGCAAAATTCGATAACTTCTAATTTTAACAATTTTGGATAAATATCGATAACTGTGCATTTCGAGGGCTCGATAAACTTCGATAACCCAAAAGTGTATATAAATAGATAACTCGATAAACTTTGGATACCTCTATAAACCTCGATAAACAGTGATAACTCGATAAACTTATTAAGCCTTGAAATTTCCATAGCTCGATATATTTTCGAATTTCCAAAAACTTCGATTCGATAAATCGACAAATTTCAGTAAATCAATAAATACGGATAACTCGATAGGTTTAAAGAACTCGATGCAATACGATAACTCAATGAATTTCGTTAACTCTATAAATAATGATAGTTCAATAAATATCGATAACTTGATAAATTTAATAACTAAATAATTTTCGACAATCCCATAAATTTGTGTGTCTCGATAACTATCCCTAAATTTCGACAACTAAGTTTCTGTGTCTATAAATTTCGACAACTCAATTAATATTGATCAATTTGAATAATTCGATACGTTGCGATATTTCAATAGACGTAGATAACTCGATACATTTCGATAACCATAAACTTCGTTGATTGAACACGTTGCAAAAACAACTGTACATAATATTCATTTCATAATTTTTTCTTAGATTACTACCTTCTTATTACCCACCCAAATTGCTAATTAATTTTTTAAGGGATAAACCGTCACAGGCCTGTGTTATGCACCTAACAATCTACCAACATCGTACGATTTATTTATTAAATTCCCCTCTTGCTTTCTGCAAATATCATAAACCTATAAGCGAGTACTCGGATCTCAATCCGCACAGCGCGCATCTTCCGTGTCTGTGTACATATATGCATTTCTGCACAAACCAGCTAGCTAATACGTAAATCTGTTTCGCTTGTACCATTATAAATTTACAAGTACAAGAGAACATATTTCTATGCTATTATATATTAAATTCTAAACTGGACATGATTTGTCATAATAAAAGGATACTCCCATTGCGATAATATGTATATACAAACATATGTAAGTAGTATGAGTATAACAAGTAACATAAACTAACAAAATATTTATTTTAAAATCTTATCAGTATTTGTTATGATTTTTTATTGCGCACATTATATTGTCGGACAAGTTATGACTTGTTGAAGCACATTCTCAACCGAACTACTACAGAGCATTACAACTTAGCGCATGTGGGCTTATGTTAACGTTTATTGTGACTCACAAAAGTTTTCAAATTTTTTTTTTCTTTTTACTTCTTTTAAATTTATCCGAATTTCTCTTCTCTAGTTAGTCCGTAGCATTCATTTTTTTTTCGTACTCCTCTCCCACAGCCAACGCCGAGTTGATCTACCGCGTACTAATGCTGCAGGAGACAGTGGGGCGTGCGTTGAAAATCTCACAAGAGGCCGCCGCACGCATGGAGGAACTACAAATACAATTGTCCGTGTTGCAACGTCAGTGCACTTACCGCGACCGGCCGCTCTGCGACACGTTGCGGATACGAAGTTTTGAAGAGAATGGCATTATTGATGCACTCAAGACGGTTAGTTGGCCGAATGTTTTGGATTGTAGTTACATGTTGTCGTTTTGTCGTTTTGTTGCTTTTTTTTTTGTTTTCTTGTATTTCGTATTTTTGCGCTTGTAAGGGTAGTGTGACAGCAAGTAGCAAACGTTTTTTGCTTCTTTACTTCCGCCCGGCGTTGCTGCGCTGCTTTTGACAAGTAGCTCCATTGCTATTTGGCATCTGACAAATGAAATTTTCATTTCACGTTTGCGCTTCACACTTTTGTTGCAGTGGTTTTTTTCTTTCTTTGCTTTTTATTTCACTTTATTTTGTAAAGTTATGACAGCTATTTTGAACCACATTCTTCTATAAACTTTTCTTCTTCATTTTTTTTCTGGTCTCTACATTTTGTTTTTTTTTTTTTGCTTTCTTGTAACTCCTCTACTTTATTTGCCGGTAATTTGTCAGCTGCAAGAGGACCAGACAATCTTTCGCATGCGTTACTTGGGCGAAATTGAATTTGGTGCAACTGTCAAAAATTTGACATCTGAAGTTGGTGTGTCACGTTCAATTTTCAGTAATTTCCCGCAACAAGTTAAGCACGACACGGCATACGAACGGAACTGTAAGTAGCGAGTGTTTTTTTTTATTTATTTGATTTTACTGTTATAACGGTATGCATGGTAATAAGCGGTAGATTTATGTGTTTGAAGAATGATGCTATTGAGTTGAGGTGAATTGAACAGCTCGTTGAATGCATATCTCATTCGCTAAGCGTATGTGATTGGAATTTTCAACTGTCTTATGATTTTTTTTTAAGTGCATATTGAATTTAAGCTTTAAGTGAATCATACTACGTAATTTAGCATTACCTAGATGTTCTAAGCCCCTTCTTATTTCGTGTGATTTCTTTAATCTTATGTTGGAGAAGATAATAAGAGCCGCAGAACTGAACCGCTCAGGCACAATACTTTATAAGAGCGTACAATTGCTGGCGTATGCCGACGACATCGATATTATCGGTAAAAACAAGGGCTACGTCTGTTCTGCCTTCTCGGGATTGGATAGAGAAGCAAAGCGAATGGGTCTGGTGGTGAACGAGGACAAAACGAAGTATCTCCTGTCAGCACACAAACAGTCAGAGCATACGCGTCTTGGCACCCACGTCACTGTTGACAGTTACAAGTTTGAAAAAGTAGACGACTTCGTTTATTTGGGAACCAGCATTAACACCAATAATAATGTCAGCCTTGAAATCCAACGGAGAATCACTCTTGCCAACAAGTGCTACTTTGGGCTGAGTAGGCAATTGAGAAGTAAAGTCCTCTCTCGTCGTACAAAGATCACACTCTATAAGTCACTCATCATGCCTGTGCTGGTGTATGGCGCGGAAGCATGGACAATGAAAGCATCTGATGAGGCGGCTCTTGGAGTTTTCGAGAGAAAGATTCTGCGAAAGATTTACGGACCTTTACGCGTTGGTGATGGCGAATATCGCAGACGATTTAACGATGAGCTGTATGAGCTTTACAACGATATAGACATAGTGCAGCGAATTAAAATTCAGCGGCTCCGCTGGCTTGGCCATGTCGTTCGGATGGACAGAAACGCTCCTGCTCTGAAAATATTCAACGCGGGCCGCGATGCTGGTAACAGAGGAAGAGGAAGGCCTCCTCTGCGTTGGAAAGACCAGGTGGAGAAGGACTTGGCTTCACTTGGCATTTTCAATTGGCGTCAGTTAGCACAGAAGAGAAATGACTGGCGCGCTGTTTTGGACTCGGCCAAAATCGCTTAGGCGGTTACAGAGCCAAATAAGAAGAAGAAGAAGATGTTCTAAGCTTAGCAATAACTCGCAGGTTAAATGCTAGTTATGGAAGGAAAAAATGAACCACTTGTAGGCGCGTTCAAGTATAGAATTCGGTCTCGTTTACTCTATTTGTCAGTGAGTTACAGACCACTCAAATCGTGTAAAATTGGGAAAATAATTTAACTCATTACTCACGATGTAAAAAAAAAATCCCATCAGGCTCATTTCAGGTGTTTTTCTATGAGCTTCCTTGGTGCTCCAAAATGGAATCTACGGGATGATCACTCAATTTAATCCGTCTCGTAAAACACAAGCTAATTGCTAGTTGATCCAAAACAAAAAATATTTTTTAGAGTCTCGACTTTCAAAAACTTATAGTACAGTAAGAGGTAATTGGACATATTCATAGTCGAAATAAAGTCGACTCAAAAGTTAGCTGCGGTTTTTTAACACATATTCGTTGAGGAGTATGTCAAAAAGCAGCAGCTAACTATAGAGTCGACTTTATTTTGATTATGAATATGCCCTAATAACTCATACTTTCAAAGAACTACATATTAGGTTCTTTCCCGTACGCAACGCGGGATCCCGCGGGTGCCCAAAACAGCCCAGAAATCATTTCATTTGGAAGAAAGCGTTTTGAAGGTAACTAAAATGAAACTTTGGTATTAATTTAAAATAAGAAGCTGTTCACTCTTGAATTATTCCTTTTTAGGGAATTATTCAGTAAGTTTTTAGGATTACAATTTTTCTAAGCTCTGAAATAGAGCGAATATTTTCTGGTGGCCTCATGTGGCAAATGATTATATCAAGATATCAAAGGGCCTATACACAGAAACTGGCAATCCGTCGTTTGCCTGTGGAGATGTGAGGTTATGATCGACTAGTGGTCGCTTTATAAAACACTCAAGATCTCTGCACAATCTCATATGACTGTACGTCAAATAATTTACAGGTTAATAGCCTATTTCCACCAAAGTCTTAACTGCAGTTAAGAGCTCAGATAAGTTCAAATAATTCTAACGTGGGGTGATCGGCAAAGTTTTTTTCTTAAGGTTTGCTTTTTTCCCTTCGTCTTTTTCTACTTAATAGGTGGAATTACCACCTTCGATTAGAGTAATCTCCGTTTTTCAAGAGGCATAAACTGCTGTTAAGGCTTGGTGGAAATCAACTATAATACTTGTTATATACTTTAACAAGTTTTCATCGCCTTTATAAATTTACATATTTATTTACCTCTGTGTTCTATCGAACATGCCTAGAAATATTCTGTCACACCTTTTGGTAGTCCGTAGTTCTTTCATTCTCCATCGAAACTTCTGTTATTCTTCTGTTTTTTTTTTTTGTTGATTTTTCTTTCTCATTTTGCAGCATTCGCCAAGGATCTTGGTTTATTATTCTGACACCATCTTCATTTCTCAATCTAACTTACAAAAAGTTAGAACTATTTATAATTTCATGGAGTCCCACATGTCTCTATCATATAGTGCTCTAAATAAATTTGCTAGCCTTCAGCATCTTAATAGACCAAAGATTGCCTATCTTTTTACTATAAGGTGAAGTTAGAGTAGAAAGGTGTGTATGAAGATTTCATAATTCCATTCGGAGGCATAGTTATGAATACCCCCATTGAGTGCCTGAAATTTCTATAAATCAGTTGCTCAAGTGCTTAAGTCGCCTTGTTTGAAGGCCTATACATGAACATAGAATATGTGGAAACGAGGAGGAAGCTTCTTCATGCCGAAATCGCACAGTATCCTCGAGGATGATGAAAAGGATTCTTACTTACCACTTCAAAACTTAATCAGTTCATTTTTTGCTAACTCTCGGCCATAAAAACATTGAGACTTTGGTTTGGTATGCCCGTAAATTTTTATCAGCAAATTAAAAAAGGCGGTTTAAGGCATATATCAATCTGCCTAATCTGCGTTTCCGAGCGTGTCTAGCCATCTCATCGACATTTCCGCTCCCTCCTGTTTTTCTATGTCCGGGAACCCAGAAATATTTACGACGTCATGACTCAGTGACGCTATTGGGTAGCGAAATTTCCAAAAAAAAAAAAAATCGACTTCAATCTCAGCACATTTAATACCGCTGGCTTTCAAGCAAGACTTACTATTTGGTATTAGACAAGCAGCCTTCTACATGGCAAAGGTCTCCGCGACACTGCAGTATTTATGCAGACGATGTGATTGCCCGTTCTACAGATACCCCTAATATAGGCCCGTTTCAATTCCTCTTTCCATTTTTGAGCCATCGGCAACACCATCTTTTCCCGTCGGCAATTCTTATCTAGTTCGAAATCATGTAATAATACTGAAGCGGCAGTCACAGAAAGGTGCAATGTGATCGCTGCGTGCAGATAGTCAGTTTGTTTACACGGTTTTGTTTCACTTAATATTTTTGTTGTCGAATGGCCACTACCAAACCCTACCTAAATTGGTCTGTTGATCGCTGTCGTTAATCTAAATTAACGGTAGGCCTAATAGACGTGTTGTTTCGACGGTGGCGGATCAAAGAAGGATATTTATTAGCTGGGTGTGTTTAAGAGGGAAAGTGAAGGAGTTTTTGGTACGAAAATTCACAAGCCGGATATGTATTAGGAAGGTCAGGGTCAAGTTTAGGTGAATAGGAGTTAGTTATGCCGGAATTACGCGGGTCCCTCTCGTCATCTGAAACTCTACGCCTGCAATGGGTGGTAGTAGAACTCATATGATGGCATTCACAGGTCGAAGGTGCCTTCTGACGTCCCAGGGAGAAGGCTATACTTCCAGAAAGTGTCTATGGGGATGCTCCTAAGCAGAAATTGCTTGCAGAGCATTTAATTGCCAACAACGTCTTTGTCTTTGTCCTTGGGTCTGCCGGTGGACACTGTTTCATTTAATCTAAGAGCCTCTCCTTCGGCTGCACCAGTTATGAAGACTTCCTGTCATCTTTATTGTTCCCTTCATTTAAAGGTCCAACCTCTGGACTATTTTAATTTTCCTAACGTTTGTCACTTTTTTTAAGGTCATTCCATCCTCGCAGCATCGCTACAGAAAAGCGTTTGTCTAACAATAATTTCCCTTAATTACATTTTATTCGTTAAGGGAACCGGATTTGCTTAGCAACTGGAAACGCACCAATATCCGCATAGTACTCGTAAATACAAAAAAAAAACACTTATCCAATTTTCAAGGCATTTTCGTAGCTTTCTCTACCCATCATTCTCCCACTCTCATGGCAGCACGTTCAGTTTAACCTCATTTAATTGACAGCTGCAAGCGAATTTTGCGCTTAATTTACGCTGACCAAGCGGTAAACAGTTGCCGAAATGGCTGATTAGATACTTCACTGATATGTACATATGCGAGCAGTTTCATTTACACGCCAATTTTCACTTCGCAAACATGCATACCACGGACTTACGCAATCTACTTTCGCCCATACCCTCATACAATTTTCACACACAGCCAATTTTGCTTTCTCCACTACAGATACCCTCGAGCAGCTGGAAAGCATACGTCATCGCACCAAAGCCAACGCACAAATGCTTACCTCCACGATAAATGCGTTGCTCGAACGGCTACAAGGCGTTTGGCCCACACTCGAGCACAGTTACGCGGAATTGCAGAGTTGGTCTAACTCTTATTGGACAGCAGGTTGGGTGGCTGCCCTCGTTATCGGCTGGGTGCTGCTCTTCGGTCTCATGTCCTACTGTTGCTTCCTCTGCGAGTCGAACGTCAAGGCTGGCGTGGTGCTGCTGATTTCCGTACTGATTATCTGTTTGGGCAGTATTTGTATTACCTTCTATGGTGTGCTGACACTGGCTATTGGCGGAAATACAGAAGTCTTCCTCTGTCGTTCGCTATACGATGAGGCGGCGGCTGGAAATGGTGGCGCTGTTGGTGTTGCTGGTAATTGGGGTAACAATGCTGGCGATGTGTCAGATACATCTACTTATCACTTGTTGGGTAAGTTATTCGATAAACCAGGTTATGTGTACGCGCATGAACCACAGACGGGCATCATCGGCGAGCTGCTACGGCCGGAAGGTGTAAATCGTTCGATTGTGAATGTTAGCCTCGCAACGGCGCTCAGGTATGGATTAACTTATGCATAGAAATAGTAAGAAAGGCGCTGAAAATTTAATTTTTGGTGCTGGTTTTTTGGTCCTATATGTATGCTAACGAAACCATATCCGCTCTAGCCTACTTAGTTATTTGTCAGCCCACAATTCCTATGCCCTATCCGCTTGTAGCTCCAGTTCGCAATTCATATTGCATAAGCTGCAAAATATACGGTTACACAGTAATGCCATAAATCCAATTAGCTTGATACTGTACGTGCTTCTTTTTTATTCACCGACCTGCTGGACCTACTCGCATATAAAATGTGCGCATATTCAATGCGAGATTTTTTTGCTCCTTTTTTCGCACAATAAACCAGCGTACGCTAGGGCTCCTTCGATTAGTGGTCAGTTTTAAATATTGCCATATGAGCCCCACCATATCACACAGTATTTATTGATGAACGTAGTCTGCTCCTTCTCCACTTTTCTTAATAGCAGATAGCACATAACGAACTACATTAAGATTGAGTATTCCTCCTTGCACATTCATGTTGGCAAACTGTAACACTTTAAGCTATTTAAAGGGTATACAGATACAGAGATGAAGGAAGAACATTTCCCAATTCAACTTAAATATGTCCAAACATGTTTTTATGGTTTTAAGCACATCGAGCTATTAGATAGGTAGGTAGTAACATGAAGCTCCTCAGGCATCTTGCGTCGGTGTTTAAAATCTTACTAAAGGTTCTGGTAAAGGATGAGTATAATTCTCACCGTCTATTTGGTAATGAGTACGAATATTTCTACGATTCGAGTAAATGTCCATTTTCATGAGAGTGAATTCCTATTATCATTAGAATTATTCTCATCGTTTACCAGAACGTTTAGGTCAGCCAAGAATCGTGGTCCTAGATGCCGCAGCCTGCTTCTGAACAACACGGGAAAATGTCACAGGAGAAATAAGACCGTTTCCTCCTTTTCGTAGCTCTTACAGCTTCTGCAAAATCTTCGTAAAGGTCTTCGGGCCATTCTGCATGTTTTCAGCAAGTCGTACTTTAATGCCGTCTACTAAAAGTGTAGTGGTTTCTTCCGAGAATTTCGGTTACATGCTTCTCTACAACCTCCATGATAGTAGTTTGATAGCGCAAAAGAGATTTTCGTGAGAACACGCCTCCCTTAGCCTGCCGTCGAGCCGTCTATGTAGATGTCACTTCTCCTGCGTTTCCCCGAAAAAAATCACTCGAAAATTTTTAATCCGCCCATAGTAAACACATGGAAACCAAAAGTGAAAAATAAACGGGTTCGGGGAAAATGAAACTCATGATAACGCTGATCTTAAAAAACATTGCTTCCCGGAACCAATACCAAAGCCAAAGCACAATGGTCTGTACTGCTTGTAATGAAGCAAAATTTATTTAATATACAAGCGTGTCCCTGGGTTTCGGGTTGCCACTGGGATGCCTTTCTTAAGTGAAGGACAGCGAGCGCTGCTATCTGTTGTCCTGCCATATCTAGCGACACGGAATCTGTATTAAACCTGGATTACCTAGGTTAAAATATTGTAATATCTCTACAAATTGCGCTGCTTCCGGTGATGCGCCCGGTACACCAGCTCTCGCCCTGGGTATTTTTCCTTGTTTTGAGGCTTCATTTGTTTTTCAGTTGCCAAACGTAGGCAAATTTGACACTCAAAGTGTTGATGAAACGAAAGTCAGCACATTCGACTCATGTTACCCGAATAACTGCATAAGAGAAAGCGCTACAGCGCTGTATGTAGATGTGTGTTGATTTTTGCTTTTTTCCCCACCGAAATGAGATCATTTAAGATACGATAAGAAATCATAATAGAAAGTTTGCTTTCTTAAATGCTTCGAATGAGGAAATTAAGAGCTAGGTCCCCACCATAACCAATATCAAATCGGATTTCATAGTAAGCTTCGGAAATCTTGATATACGCCAAACTTATATGGACAGATTTTAATATGAATTGCAGCAAAAAGCTCCAAAGAAAGTTTAACATCTAATTGTGTATCTCAAAGTCAAGTCTCAGCATCATAAGCATAAACACTAAGCTTTAGTGCTCTCAAATCAGTAACGACAGAAAAATATCCCATGAAAGAAGCTTTTTAAAGCTTTTTGTAGATTTTATAAAGAACCGCACAAAACAAAGCTCCAAAATATATCACGTTTGGGATGCGTTTAAGGCTTTCTATGGGTTTTATATTACTGAAGGCTAGAGGGAGCTTTTGCACTGCGCGCGTCCATATAAAATTCATAGAAAGCTTTAAAAAGTTTTTCCGCGAACAGTATAATATCTCACTGGTCATCCTTGCAATAAATCAGAGATGACCAGCGAAAGCTTTCATTTTGTGCCTGCCCTATACAAATTGTACAGAGCTTCTGGATGCTTTGGCACGCGTGCCTATGAAGTGGCCAACTGTGCATTAAATGCTATCGCGCTCTGATCGGTACACTCTCACTTTGTGTGTGCCCACCAATGATGACCAAAACAAAAAAATTTTTTAACTTTCTGTGGACTTTATATAAATGCGCCACGAGTGAAAGCCCTCTCTTTTCGCCGCTGCCTTAAAGCAGACACGATCAAAATATTTCCTGCTAGAGCAGTGACGGCTAAAGAGAACATTTGCACTGCGCGCTGCAATATACAATTTATAGAAGGCTTTAAAAAGCTTCTCTGTCGTCGCAAAGTTACTATACGTTTTTGAATACCAATAATACCTACAATTTAAGACGTGAAAGAGAAAGTGACTCGACTACGAGATACATGATAAGTAGACATCAGAGTTTTATGCTTTGAAATAAGCCTGAAAATATGTACCATAATGACTGTAAGAAAATGTACCTATACCAATTTATATATTTAACTTATAGGTATAATTTTGCATAGTTTTAGGCTTATTTTTTTAGCATAAAAATCGAATGTATAATGCTTGAGCTGTTAGACTTTGCATTTTGAAGTGAATTCCAATAATGTAAAAATCTACTTATACCACCGTGCGACAGTCAATTTTACAAACACAAAAAATTAATATGATCGCGAAACTAGGGACCAAAATAGTAAAACTGCGTTTTTGGTTGTTCTCTCGAACATTAGGGTATTTGTTTAAAAAAAACTTTGAAATTTCAAAGATATGATTAATGGAAGAATTTATTTAAAAATTATAATTATAAAATGGAATAGCAATATGGGTACCAAATAAAAGAGAAAACTATGTATAAACAAATTAAAAAGATAAAATGTTTTGTTACACAAAGACAAATAGGTGTCGAAAATGTCCTTTTCAAATTTTAGCCTTGATTATTTATCCTTGAAAATTGTCAATATTTATTTTTGAAAAAATTTCTATTTCTTTCTAACTTTTTTAGCTTAAAAAACTAAAATTAATTAAAAGCGAATACCCTTTCGTCCTTGAGATCCAATTTTTTTTTTAATTTTTTTTTTTTTTTTTTGTTTACTTTCATTTGGTGCACATATTGTTATTCTACAATGCACTGCATTTTTTAAATATTTTTTTTAATCAATCATGTCTTGCAAATTTGAAAGTCATTTTAAAAAAGATTCTAACGTCAGGGAGAAAAAAATAAAAACACAGTTTTACTATATTTTTCCCATGATTTTGTGAGTATATTGACTGCTTCGTGTGTTTTGAAATTTTTTGTTTTTTGTCGCCCGGTGTTATACGTTAGTGTGTTCCTGAAATCTTCAGTATATTTAGAATGCTCTTAGGCAGCAAGTTGCAAAATTCTGTGATTGTTAGATACAACTTTTAAATGCCTTTGTATGCGTAGCAACCAACTCAAAATACTAAATACATAAAATTAGAACTCCACACCAAGCTTTTCATGCTTTAAAGCTTTCGACGCATACATATACATAGGTATAGCTTAATAGAACGCTAAACGTCAAAAAAGCTTTGTGTGGGGTTTCAACTTAACCCTGACCAAAAATACTATATTTTCCCTAAATACCTGTATACCTCTATAAGATAGCTGTACCGACAAAAGTATATCAACCTTACATTGTAAAAAATACACACCTTTTAATACCTTCAATCAAAAAACTGACCCCTATATAACTTTTTACCTACCAATTTCAAAATTTGGGCTCTTTCTCACGTATGAAGAAAAGTAAAATCAAAATTTTCGACGCGCCCTATTCACCCCACTTTAACACCTTTTTAGCCCCCACTATGCCCCTATCCCAAAAAAAAGTACGAACGCTCTTAGAGTATACCACCAATACCAATCAGGATTTATTTAAAAGCCCCGAATAGTACGTATTCTGTTTATAGCCAGCTTAAAAGCTTCACAGTTGCCTCTCTTTTGTCAATAATTAAGACATTTTAAATCCGTGCACTACCCACTATCTGTTCTGCTACAAGTAAATAGTCGTAAGACACTGAACTAAACCAGTCTACCCCTTTCGTTCAATACCCCTTCCCCCTCTGCACACAACCACTGTACCAACATTACTTATTCACATACTTAAGAGAAACAAAATGTTATTCTATCAAATTTCTTTACCACTTATTGTCTGTCAACAACCCTCGAATCGCCTGTTTATGCCCCACTTCACGACGGCAATTCTCGAAATAATCTTCAAATCAACACGCCTAATACAACACATGCGTACATACATACATACGCACCCACAAACTCGCCTCGGGCTCTGCCACTATTGGGTCTAACGCCATTCATTGGCTCTTTAATCTCAAATCACGTCCGTCCTTCACTACAATGTTTTCTTTGTTTGTGTGCGTTCGTATCTCTATTCTGCTCGGCATGGTGTGTTTGTGTGCATTTGCAATTTATTTGTGTGGTTTGGTGTGCGACCCCCACACACACATCCCACACTTGAGAGCAGAGGTTGTGAACAAAACCAAGCATCGTACAATGTCTTCCAACTGGATGCATTCGTTAATACCACACAAATTGCCGATTTAAAGCAATTCCCAAAAGTGACCACAGCCATTGATGCAATCACCGTATCCGAACGTACTATGCTCTCGCTGACGCAGACCATACAGAATATACTGGAGAATATGCTACACACTTCATCCTTCAATCTGTCCACATATCGGGTGAGCATTGGTGCACCGACGCCTGAAAAGGACTTGGCTACGTTCATCGATCAAATGCAAAGGGTGGCACTGCAGGTAAGCAAAGTGGGCGCTTGATAAGCGGAATGCGAAGTTTTAGGCAGCAGATAAGCATGTGTTGAGAATTCCAGACAATGAGAGTAGTCTATGCATGCAGTTAACTGAGTCAAAGAAATACTTAGCTCAGTTTGCCCATGAAATTAAAGTGAGATGTAATGATCGCATTCTCTTATCAGGCGTCCCAAATTAGTACAATTATCTTTTGTTGAGTTAACTGAGTAGTTGCAAATGTAAATCAAGTAGGAACATTTTGCGAAGAGAGTGCGAACTTTGAATTAGCTCTGACTTTCGTCACAGGCGGACGCGTATCGTGCGGCCATTGAATGTTTAATCGATTTTCGGTTAAGACGAAATGGTATCCAGGCAAGATTGCGAGTACAGATGGGTGCGGGACTAAATATTCAATCCCGATCCCTTCCAACCAACTTTAAATTTTTAGGTTCCGACTCCGCCCTCCCCAGCGGTTTTTAGGTTTATAACACGGGTCGCATGGGTCCCGATTCACATAACTTTCTACTTAATTATAAACATTGTAAAAAAAAACCAACTGCCGTCCGCCGTCGCGCTACCACTCCATAAGTCCAGGGTTAGATGTCCAGTTCCAGCAACATCGAAATTCTTCTAAATATCGGTCGCATATCGGCAGCCAAAGGCAAACTTCCGAGTGAATTCCTAACATTAAAAAGCTTCCCTTAAAACCAGCTGCTGTTCGGAACCCGCGTAAAACAGTGGTCCCTCCATTTGTAAGATAACATAAAGACGCACACCACAAGCTGGTAGAAGGAAGATTCTCTGGATTTTCGGAAGTTGCGGATTTTATTGGGGGTGGTGAAAGAGAATTTTTGTCCCGGTCCGCCGGAAAATTTTTAAGAACCTTCCTTATACCGGCGATTTTGGAATCTCTGCATAGTTACGAGCCCAGACTAGCTCTTCAGATATGCCGGTAATTTTCGGCCGTCTTACCTATCCCTACTTAACCAAAATTTATATGCATTTCTGTCTATAAAGAAAGTGGAAATAAATAGAAAGAGAAGGCCCGTCTTGGTAGGAGGTGTCATGCCTTTTGTAATATCCTAAGTATATGCAGCCTTGGACGTTGTTGCGGTTCTTCATATATCGCGACGTCCTCGAAGCCTAACACGACTGTGTCTATTTACTAGTCCATCCGCACCGTATCCTTTCTCACAACTTCATATTTATATATTCTTTGTGTTTGCCGTTAGCTTTCATTCAATAGGTACCCAACACAGTGTTACCTTATTTCTCGCTTCCAGAAGTTATAATGCCTTTGATGTTCAGACTGAGTACGATCTGTAAACTCACTGCTTCTTTACTAGCGTGAAATATTTATGTCCTATAAATACTTGTACACTACAAAGTCCCCATTTTCAAAACTTCTAAACTACATATTCTTAGTTTACCAACTTAAGTAAATAGTCTATCAAAACTTTGTAATGGACTTTACAAATTCCGCAAATGGTGGACTCTGCGAAATAATAGTTAACACACGATGAGGGACACAAATTTTAAACAATTCCAAACGAGGTTTCATAAAAACCAGTCATCACATGTCACCAATTTAACACTACTTTCTTCATCTTTAATCCACCAGATTCAAGACGTGGCCACCTCGTCTCGTATGACTACGCTCGGCAGTCGTTCAAAGCGTTTACAGGCATCAATCCTACAGCCACTCGAACAGTTACAAAACGAGATACTCTACCATCTAACCGCATTGGAGTTGCAACGCGATCCCTGGGCCAAGCAGGTCAATCAAACACTCAATCACCTGCGAAACGTACAGGGTTATTTAGAGAAGACAGCGGGGGAAATTTGTAGCAATCAAACGCGCGTTTATACGGAAAGGTTTGGACACTAATTGAGGCTATACATAATTATTTGTTCACCTTTATATAATCTGCTCAATTTAAGATTGAAAGCCTATCTGACGAACAGCAAAGCGACAATGTCCTCGCAATTGGGCGACACCACCGCCAAATGTCGTCCATTCTTCGATATCTTTGACGCGAATCGCATCTTCCTCTGTCGCAACATTGTCGACTACATCAACGCATTGTGGTTCTTCATTTTCATTACTTTATTGCTCTGGTCGGTTGGTACACCCATTGGACTGAATCTCATTACGATACAGCGTCGTTTAAATCGTTTGCGACGCGCACAAAAACGCGCCGCCGAACGTTCGGATAGTCGCAGCCGGCGTAGAGAGCGCGCTACTAGTTCAGCTACACGTGAGCCGCGCAGTGCAAGTAGCGCAAGTCGGCCTCCACTGTGAGACAAAATCAAGTTTATCAATAAAGGTACTTAGCATGCCATCTCTTTTCAGCCGCCGTACTGCTACCGAAGAGACGCTGGACATAGCTACTGAAGAGTCACCGCCACCACCAAGACGTGAACAACGTGATATGCGTAGTCGTGATCGCGAGCGTGAACGTGAGCGGGAAGTGAGCCGTGCGCGGGATAGTGCAGCGGCCAGTACGCCAGCAGGTAGTCGAGCGCAATTGTAAGTAGAAAACTTAAGCTGCTGTTAACACACATGGATCTTAACTAGAACTTTACGAGAGCTTAGATGTATTAATGAATATTATCCTGCACGAATTTTGAACTCAATTTTTGCGTGCTCAGCCTTCTTTGTGATGCATTTATCCCATTTCAGACGCCGCACTGGCACAGATGCAGAGGATAATTGGGGTTCGTCGAGTGCAAGTCGTGCCACATCGATGGAACGCGAGGCCAGTCAGCCTAGAATGTACACGAGTAGCAGTAGCGCTCAGCAGCAGCAACAACAACAGCGGGGTGCTAAGTCGAGACCGCAACTGTAAGTAGACACTGAGGCGCTCCAAGGGGAAAAGGGAACTTTTTCTTGAAAATGTCGGTGATACTGCAAAATGTTCTATGTCACTTATTAGCTCTAAGCACCAGATTGATCTGTTAACTGTATCTGATCGCTTCTGGCAATCGATCATCTTCATCAGCCAAAGGTGGACAGTTTTGTCATTCGTTTATTAGGGTGTAACGATTTCCAGATGCAGTCCGGTGCAAGTGAGAGACCATCTAAGTCTGAAGGGTACTAATACACATAGACCGTTTTGCAGTATAGCCGACGACATAAAGACGATGGCATTTTGTCTGCTCCCTCGCTTTATGAGACTAGTGAATAGTCCGTACCAGACTCTCAGAAGTTTTTTACTCAGTGAGTTCTCGAACATTTTCTCAGTAAATAAATATCCAATCTTTCAAACACAATTATCTTCCTTCCTTTCTTATACTAGAAGTACCTACGAATATGTACATGAATATATCTCTACTCTTCTTTCACAGCCGCAAACAAGGAACAGAAGAATTTGATTTGGAGGCGGAGGATAATTGGCAGCCAGCCCAAACAGCGAGCAGTAGCGCTGCTACACGATCGGAGTCACGCGCTGGCGTACGACGCGAGCAGCGAGAGCAACCGGCTTATACACACAGCAATGGACGCAATAAACCGAAATTGTAAGTCGGCCAGCTATGATGAGCGTAACTACAATACCGTCCTAAAGCAAACACCCTAAAGAACATAACAGCACATAAACGTAATAGAAATAAAGTCAACGTTAATTTTGGCAAACCTATGTACCTAAATTGGACTTTATTATCTCTATGTTTATGCGTCTTTTATGTACATACATATTTAAATTACCAACCACTAACTACTTACATCCTCTCTCGCTCTCCGTGCCGTGTAAGACGTCGCTCCGACCGTGAGCAATATGATCGACCCTCTCGTCGCTCCATGACACCCGTCTTGCAAGCCAGTCCCGATGCACAGCCAGCCAAACCAATGCCACGTACACCGACGCGTCTGCGCCATCGCGTGACATTAACAACACGCGCCGTTGCCAATTTAATGCGTGCCGGTAATCCGCGCCATAAGAGGCTGTGAGTAGCTGTTGTTGGTAATTTTAAAACTGCACGAAAAAAAGTCAGTCTCCAAATATCCAACTAGTTGATGCGCAAAAAATGTATTTACTTTTTTTTTTTTAGTTAGTAAAAGCTCTCGTTAACCCGTCCACAATTAGCAGCACAACTCTTTGCTAGCCTAAACTACCTACAAGTATACTCTTTCTCTCTCTAACACTCGCACGACTTACGCTCCATTGATCCTTTATAAGTAGTTTTGGGTTGCTTATTAATTTAAAATTTTTTTTTTAATTTTTCTTTATATTTATTTTTAGCCAACGCAGCGGCACCGAAGATTTTGAGATCGAAGAAAGCGATACCTATGGTGCGCCGGCGCAAGACTCAGCTGCGGTCGCTGCGTAAGTACGAATTTTCTATAAGCGCCTTTAAATAAAGTTTAACAAAAAGTGCAGTCAACAAGATGGAAAAAATTTCACACATGATTAAAAACGTACCATGCTGTTCAGAAAAATATTTTAATCAAAATTAGAGAATGTCCCATCTCTCAATTGTACAGGAAATATTTTTAATTAATTAAAAACTATTTGCATTTACCGCATTGCTGCTACTGGCACTAACGCACAAATGGACAAATGTAGAAAAATAATTAAGAAATGGGCGTAATTGTTGAAACTTCACTCCTACAAGGATTACTTCACGGCGATGTCAAAAATTAAATCGCTGATTTGTGTAGGATACCAGTTTCGAAGAAACCCGAATTTTTAGTACCGGATACCAATTTCGAGACCATAATTTTTCTTATGGTTATTTTAAAAATGAAATCGGTTTTTGTACCGGTTACCAATTTCAAAAAATTCGAATTCTTAGTACCAATTTTGTGAAATTCAAAGTGGTCCCGCCCAGTTTTTTAAATTAATTAAACAAATAGTTTTATTGTTTTGCTCATATTAAATAGCGAATCATTAAAAATTGGTAATTCGCAAGTTATTTAGATAGTTCTTGGGTGTAAGAAGAAACAGCGCGACCTGAATCGTGTATCTTGAAGAAAGAGTCGCTCACCCAGTATGTCCAAGATACCTTCGGCTCCTTAAAGGGTCTTGGTATGCGAATTATTTATAACAAAGGGGTCGACCATTGAAGCTTTGAGATGAATCAATCTCTGCGTGGCCAAACCCTGCCAGTAACATAGAATATGCTCTGAAGTTTCATGATCTTCAAGGCCGGCATTCCGACTCAGTGGTCACATATATTCGGTGCAAGTGTAATCACAAGCGGTTGTGACCAGACAGGTACTCCGAAAGTAGCCTGATGTCATTTCGGTTTCCTAAAATAATATTCTTTCTTTTGAAAGGGTAGCCGAAGAGCCTGGTCTGTCTATGGCAGTACTTACTGCGTTCAGAGTGTACCCACTCAGTAATTATGGCTGTCGAAGGGCACCAACTGAGACCACAGAATGGTTCAGGTCCCGAAAAACAGTTAACGATCCTTCTCGTGCCTTCTCGTCAGCGACCTCATTACCTTCGATTCCACAATGGCTTGGTACCCAGCAGTGTTACCGTGCTTTTGGCTGTCAAAATTTGTCAAAGCAGTCTCTAACCAGCTTAGATTTCATAGTCCTGTTTGAAGGGCCCCGGCTGGCTGCTTGGATACCTGAAAAGATAATTAGAAAGGCGCCATTCAAACCCTTTTTAAGGTTTAGTTTTACGCAGTTTAAAATTTCGACTATTTAAGCCTGAAACACCGTGGGCCATTTGGGATCAAGTGCAGGGAGCCCATTTGTCCAATCTTTGGGAACTTTCAGCCAAAGCAAATTTCTTTAGTCATGGCATCAGAAATTCCGCATATTTCCAACCCTGGCAAGAAACCGTGATTAGATAGTCGAAGTTGCGGCTCCCTCGTGCTGCTGTTTCCTGGGTGAAAATGTGGAGAGGAGTCCATCCTAGAAACGACTCTAAAGCCGCCAGTTGAGCGCCCATCTTTGCAGTTTGTTAAGGGGAAGTATGGCAGTTTTTTGCAGCGTCTTCTGCCACCATGCTATTAATGAATAAGACACAATCGGACGGACGATCATACGGTTGAGACACTGTATCAGCCTTGAGCTCAGTCCCATGTTCTTCCAAAAAGTCTTCTGTAAGCCCATATGGCCCGTGTGGATTTAGCAAACGTTCTCTCAAGTTCTAATTTAGTCTCTTATCTAGCGTAATCCCTAGATATTGAACCTCATTGGAGTATTCAAGCACTGTCTTTCCAGTGACCGTAACTACACTCATGTAGTCTGATTAAGAAGTTGTCCACCAAAAGTGACCAAACTAACCCTCCCTGCGGGTAGCCTCCCACGGCTCTGGTCTTCACTTAAGTATTGCCCACGGACGATGTTATTTCACGCTCACGAAGCATAGCGTCTATCCAACCAACATTAGTAGGGTCTAAGTCTCTTTACGCCAATTTCTTGAGATAGATCCATAGGCAGTATTATCGAAAGAAGGTACCCTAAGCCATCTCCTTGGCCTCTAAGGCTTTCGATCCTACTAAGCAGATACTGTCGGTACTGTTTGATGTAAGATAATGGAAGTGTTAAGTTTCTCCCTAATACGGAGGTCTAAAAGTCTCGCTTAAGTTTTGAGAGTCAAGGAAGTTAGGCTAATAGTATGCATGAAGTCAAGGGGCATGTTTCCCGATTTCGAAATAAATAAAACGGACACTTTCCCCCACACATACGGTATGTATTCCCAGCAATAACTAGCCCTAAATATACATAATAAATGATGACCTTGATACTTCTTTATAGTAGTGCTGGGAAGATCCCATCACCCACCCTCTGCTTTGATTGGTTCGAAAGACTCCACCGCCGACCGTACCTTGTCCCTGTCAAAGAAGAAGCCAGATCTGTTGTGACTCCTCACTTTAGAGAACCCGTGATCCGAGGAGATAGGGGTCATCCGATGATTTAGAGTCTGTCTGTTATCGTTCGTAAAGGTGCCATCTTTCCTCCTTAAAGGACCTATCCGATTGGAAGACTGTTATTATAAAATCTTATGCAGACGGCAGGCTTCAGGCAACATCACTCTTGTCTCACATTGTCGCCTACATGAATCCCTATTCGAGCATCTAATAAGTATGTAACAGTCAGTGAAGGAAGCCTTATACTCTTTCCCTCTGATGCGTCCTTTTGGCCTTGTTGAACAGCTTCCGAAAAGTCTTCTGCTTTGCATACAGTTCCCCGTTCCACCAGGGAATTTTGCGTTTCATCAAGGTAGAACTAGTAAATGTACTGTCATGGAAGGATTCAAACAGAGCGCGATTGAGTCAGTGGGGCTTTTAAAAGGGTTTTCCTAGGCTGGAATGTCCAGCTGCGGAGCTCAGATCGCCCTGGGATCTTGAAGACTATGTGCTGATGATCCGAGAACGATGCTTCTTCCGAGACTTGCCAATTTAAAATTTATCTGATGCAGAGAGTGAGATCTAGTACCTCCTTCCTGACGGCAGTAATAATTGTAGATATGCAACCCCTGTTCGCAAATTCTAAATATGTTATTTTGTAAAAGATATCCTAAAGGGTACTCACCCCTTTCGTTGAAATTGGAGCTGGTCTACACAGTGTGGTGGGCATTCGCATCGCAACCAATAATTTACGAGCTGCTGTACCTTCAATTGTGGTATAATGGTATGTCACCTGAGAAGTAGGCGGATGCGAGGACAATTTCCTGCACCCCCACCGGCCACACCTCTAGTACAGCCACTGAGAGGTCCGTGGAAATAAAAGGAGTAAGAGGTGTATTATTGAGGTTGTCGTTAATCAAAAAGGCGACGCGGGGAGTGTCCTCAATCAGGTCATAGATTAACCTACCTGAACTAGCCATTCCTCTTACTTGGCCTCCGCTAAACCAGGGTTCTTAAATAATAAAACAATATATTGAAATGGAAATATTATACTCATGAAAAGTTGACTTAAGGAGTCGCTTGATCTCTGGAGGATCGTCATTATCTGGTAATAATGGCAACAGCATGCAATCACCTATCAGCTGGAGAACAAACGTAAAAGGAATTGATTAATTGTAGAACAAGTGAACCGCAGGAAGTATACTTAATTGAATTTCTTCTCTACCTTTTTCAATTATGTTCAAGTGTCCAAACGTTGTCGTTTAACCGTTGTTGTCTGACTGGAACTTTGAGGATCATCGTCATCCACACATAGCATCTATCTTTCTCTTTATCTAATTCCTGAAAATTGGTCCTGTCTTCTTTGTTACACAGTGATTAAGAATTGCAAGGTTTTCTCAAAATTGATAGCCGGTACTGTGAAGTAATCCTTAAGATCTACCCAGAATTACAGCGGACGACGGTAAAGCGGTCTGCGGTAAGTGAACTGCTGAACAATTGCCGCAGTGAAATCTGTCAGAGAAAACACAATTGCGGCGCACGGCGGCTTCCGTCAGTTGAAATTTTGTTTTGAAAATTATCATTAAAATTAAATATTTTTTCTGTACGAGCATGATTCATTATTGAATCATGTGTACGAGCGTGTATGTTACTCGATTTGCAGCAAATATAAATGGATGAAAAGATTGGAAAACTTGTGAAAATAATAAAAGATTACTACTGTAGAAATAGAAATAAATTTAAATCAACCGAAAAATATCGGCGGTACAAACGCTGCCGCTGCAATTAGGAGACATTCCATATGCCTTTGTGAGTTTTAATTTTGACAGCGGTTAACCGTCGACCGTTTTACCGTTGTCCGCTGCAATTCTGGGTACACCTAGAAACAGAGTCAGATTGACTGTACTAAAAGCTTTTCCCAAACGTTTTAAGTGCCTAATCATGCATCTTGAAGCCGAGTCACATTCACTTTTGCAGCCCAATTTCAACGCAATGACAGTACTAGCAGAAAGAAATTACTATTGTGATAGCGGGTGTGTCCAAAAATATGCCGCAAAAACTTGCTTGTATTTAAAAAAAATTACATGCTTTATGCGCTTAGATTCTAGTTTTTGCGGCATACTTTAAGGCGAAAATAATATGACAGTAGTCATTTGTCATGACGGTCGGATCAAGTTGTTAAACCCTAAATTTCGTGCATTAATTTTCGCATAGTTTTAGGCGCTGAATATAATGAGTTATGAATTCGAAGGTCTTATTCCTTTTAGTGACTCGGCTTCGAGATGGACGATAATATATTCTACTGCCCTATTCACTCGAAATGAAAAAGCTAACTTAGCGAAATTACTATTTTATAATCTCTTCGCCTAAAACTATGCCACAAGAATAGATTTTAAACACTAAAAACCACAAACTTGTCTTCGAAATGAGAGTAAATTACGCTTCGCTTTGGCATCTGAAAGAGAAAGTCTTTTGTTAAACAACAAATCTCTAAAACTCAACTCAAATATTTACTTTT